TACTGCTACGCTGTATAGCAACAGAAGTATTTGACGGCATATACAGATTCTCTTTTTCAGGTAGAATTATAAAACTTTTTTAGGGCGGCGTCCTTTAAACGCAAGATAATTCATCCATTACGTTTCCTCGGAACTCTTTTGTTTCCCGGGATTCATACCAAGTTTATCACGAACTGTTTTGCCATCTCATTGAGAGATGGCTCACATAATTTTTAAATTCAACTTAAACACTGAAATATGCTTAACACATCCGTACTATCATTATACGATAGTAATTCGTATTAAGAACAGCATTGCACGAGGGAATCAATGTACATACACATAAACAGGAAGGTGAGAGCAAAAAACAAAAACAAAAAACCTTCTAAATATTTCTATTTAATTATTTTTCTCTTCAGTTTTTTTCTCCTTCCCCCCCATCTTCCATTCTTTTTTCATTTTTTCAATTCAATGTGAAAAGTAGAAAAGGAAAGAAAATAATAGTGCAATAGTTCAATGTTTCGCCTAAATATATGCTTTTTTTCTTTTTTTTTTTTCTTTAATTCATTTTTGAAATCAAGGTAACAAACACAGAAATTGAATTTTAAAATGGAAAACTAAAAAAGTATGATGTAAAAAATATTTTAATTTTAAATTTTTATGTTGATAGTGGTGTTTTTGTAGTTGTGTGTATAAAGAAATGTATTCGTATTGGTGACTTGTAAAGGGTTTCAATTACAAGGCTATATAAATAAAATGTAGTAGATGCATTTAGATATAAAAGAAATTGTAGATAAATTGTAGTGCTTGTTGAAAAATACAAAAAAAAAATTTACATTTTTTTCACATTTTATTTGACTGAAGGCTTTTGAAGGCTTTCATTTTAATTTTTTTTTACTTATAATCTTGTATATTTCAAAGATGGGTTCAATGAGATATAAAAAAGTATTTGGTATACTTATTTTGTATTATGAGGGAGAATGTACTTATAGATAAAGACTAAGTCAATCAAAAATAAAAATTATAAAATTATTTTTAGTGTAAATGTTCTTAACTTGAAATAATTCTAGGACAAAGACGCGCATAAGTTCAGTGGACGACCGAATATTTAAGTTCTTTGAATTTTATTGAATTTTCATTTGTTATTGTTTTTTTGATTTGAATATTGAATATAAGTGTTTTTTATTGCCTCATTTTGTGGATATTTTCTTCGATTAATTTAAAATATCTGTAAATTTTCTAGAACTAAAGAACGAGGGAAGTGTTTGTAGACTAATATTCAAAACACTTAAAGAAATAAAGCTCAATAAGACATAGGCATTTGGGGCCACCGCTATTTATCATTGCTGTTAATGATGCTGTGTCTATTTCGAATTGCAATGAAGCAATTAATTTATGCTAGAAATTAATATAAATAAGTGTGCACTAATGTATTATTCCAGACTAAGACAATCGGTTTTGTCAGATTGTCAACAAAATCTTACAAGAGTTGATTCGCTTAGGGACTCACAAGGTATTTGCTTCGATAATAAGTTGTTCATAGCAAAGCAAGTTTGATGTTGGGTTTCATCAAACGCCATTCTAATGAGATTAATTATCCTTACATTTTAAGATCCCCATATTTATCTACTGTTCTTGGTCATGTGGAATACTGTTCACAAATTTGGTCACCTCATTACAACATTCATATTAATAGGATTGAGTCGATTCAAAACAAAAAATTTTAAGATTTACGCTTCAACACTTTCCGTGGGAAGAACCTATTACTCTCTCATCATATGGAAATAGCCTAAAACTAATTAACATATTGACGTTATAGACGTGATATCGTAGATGTGATGTTTATCTTTCATCTTTTGAAAGCTGACATAAACTTTGCCATTATTTTTAATAGAATCATTGTTAGCTCTAATTTTAAGTATCGTTCTGTAGCTCGAATAAAACTAATCATGAGAAATATGAGGCTGTCAATAGATTATTTATTTTAGACTCTCATAGTTCCATTCTCACATACTCCTCATATGAGCTCAAATCGATTATCACCGCATTTAATAGGGTCGATTGAATGCTCTATGCCTCTTTATCTTCCAGAATCTAGAATATAAGAAATTTAAAACATTCCTGAGCAATTTTCAAATTATAATGCTTGATTTATTTAAAATTCCTAATTCGAAATTTGGTTTTAAGCTTATTTTTCTTCTTTTTTCTTAGTCAATGTTATTAAAAAATTTTTTATGCACTTTATGCCTACAATAAACGAAAAAAAGAAAAATACAAATAATCCTCTTAAAAATGAGAAAAAAAAATTTGCAATATTTCACTGGGACGAGGTGAATACATTTTTTTTCTCTAGCAATATTTTTAAATATGCACGTGCAAGCGTATATGAACTATATTTCATAATAAACACATAAATATTACGTGTAAATATAAAAGATGTTCGTTGGTATAAAAAGAGTGCAGGTATTATTTATATATTTATTTTAAAAAATGTTCAAGGATTTGAAATGAAGTGTTTAAAAGTTTAAAAAAAAAATTTAAAACAAAAGGGCGAATAATTTCTTTTTATATCGCTGTATAGAATAAAGTTGTAAATGGCGACTTCAGATTTTCTTTCTTTACGACCTTTTGCGACTTTCTTTTTAACTTTCCCCCTTAGGGTAGATCTAGTAGGTCATTCAGCTCACTTGCCCAACGGATACAATTAACTTCGCTAAATGTTCTTTTTTTGCCACTGGCGTTTTCTCTCAACGTCTTAAGCATTAATCCAAGTTCCTTCCGATAGCCGTGTTCCTAGTACTATATGTCATCAACGCCATCCTACGGAATACTAGGATATCACAACAATTCTTCAATCATAAATGGTTAAGTTTTGATCCTACTTCATTAAAGTTTGGAATTATGCGAAATATTTGGACCTTGTAAGTTTAAACTTTAAATTAAGTAAAAATAAGTATTGCCGCATTTCATTAATTTAATCGGATTTGTATAAAGTAAAAGAAGGATAGTTAGTGTAATAGGGACCCTGGTCTATATTTTTTTGTTTGAAAAAAATTAAACATTTAAAATTATTTAGAAAATTACACAGAAAAAAACAATACTTAAAAATTCTAATTAATTGTCATTTTTAGCAGTGTTTGAGTGTATGTTTGTCTATATATCTAAAAATTTTATATGAGGGCATTTTATTTTTAAATATACAAATGAGTGTACATATGTTTTCATAAAGAAAAGGTTTTTGTGCTGAAAAAAACAGATTTTCTTTATTTTTAGAGTTGTGTCCTTCCTTTTTTCTTTCTTAATTTATTCTAATACTTGTATTATGTAAAAACAAAAAAAAATCACAAACATAGGCACAATTTTCATTTTGTATTTATGTATGTGAAGTATGATTGTATATAAAGCCTACAGTATGTAATAGTTAGTGTGTGTGTGTATGAGAGTATTTGTGTTTACACTTTTTATACGATGTTTAAATGTTATAACGTCAGTAATGAATTTTAGTGCAATAAACTGCTGCATTGACCTACTTTTCATAATAATTTTTTTTTTTTGCTTATTCTTCTATTTTTCATTTGAGAATTTTATATATTGTGCCTACATACTACGTATATGTATATGAATGTAAAGAAAATTTTTTTTTGAAAGGCCGAAGTGCATAAAACATTTTAAAAACGACGTAATAATAATAAAAGAAATGAGAGAATGGGGGGAAAAAATAAAGAAATCAAAGAAAAAAAATTTATTATAAATACAAAATTTACTTATTTTTTAAAAATGAATGTGAATGTTAAAGGATTTATCAAAAAAAAGTATTACAGGCATGCCTGCCATTGAATGGCTAAGGCAGATATGGCAATACTTTTTGCCCTCTTTTGATTTTTCATGTTTTTGCTGGGATTTGTTTCTTTGTTTTTTGCTGTAAATCTCATTAAATGCATTTTTTTCTCATCATTAATAATAAATAAAAAAAAAATTTATTTTTCCAATTATTATTTGACATTTAAATTGAGAAACTATGGATCTACCTCTACGTATAGAGACATCTGTATGATAATGTCAACTAAATTGTTTGAAACAGTGAAAGCATTAAAGGAGTAAAATGAAATGGATTGAAGAATAAATGAATTTGTTTTAAATTTTTAATGAATTTTTGAATAAAAAACATTTTTTTTTTTGTATCATATTCGATGTGATAAAAGAGATGAGGGGACAGCAAAAAGAATATGCGAAAATTTTAACCTAAAAGTTAAAGTAAAAGTTACCTAGTCGATCAGTCCGTTTGCCGCTGAAGGAATTCATTGATAATAAATAAAGAGTCTAAAAGGAGGCCCGGGCCCTCACACGTGCAAGGTGGCCAGAGCAGTTTTGGTATACAGCAGGGTTGATCTCAGCATACTTGTTGGGGTACTGACGGGGTATTATTTCTTGAGCAAAATAGACAACGGACTTGAAGGCAATATAGCGGATGTCCGCCGGGTGTCAGGATATTACAGAGGTGGAGAATTTAGAACATGCTCTTTATACCTGTCCGTTTCTCATGTAGAGTAAGTATCGCCATCTTTAAGACAAAATTTGCGTAATTACTCTTGTAATAAAATACTCTTTTATATAGGCTGGGGGGTACTTAAACGTTGAGGGTTAAATTAGTTGACTGACAGTGGAACGTAGCATTGACGCCAATAATTTGAAATAGTTTTTTTCTATCATATTTTGTTAAGAAAGAACTGCTACTATTACAGTCGTGTCAGTTGACCTTTATTGCCCTACATCTGTAGAATTTACTCCGAATTTTTATTTCTAAATTAGTGAATTTTTCTTATCTAAAATCCTGAATCCAATACCTAGACTTCTTAAAAGTATAAAATTAAAAAAAAAAAAATCAACGCCTAAATATATGCAATATATGTAAATTTTTGTTAATCGTTTTAAACTTAAAATATTTATTAAATTCATAATTTTATTTCATTAATTTTCATTTAATTGAAAAAATTAATTCAAATTTTCTTTTCTATTTACAGTGCACACGCATCTCTACAATCTTGTATTAAAATTACAAACAAACAAAAAAAAAACAAAATTGCGCATAATTAAATTTTAACTAGTCGCTGTAACGATTTTTTTTCTTTATTTTTTTTCTTGTGTTTTCTTGTTACTTTAAAGTTATGATATAAAAGTATAAGCACATCCCTGCTCGCATATAAATTACACCAATTTCACCTCATTTTTACAAGCTTCAATTTAAGCAACAAAAGAAATAATTTACATATTTAGCGAAACAAAACCAAAACAAGCAAGAAAACAAAAAAAAACGAAGCAAAATTAAAACAAAAATCCAAAACTCAAGGATTACATGAACAGCAAAATATGAAAATTCTTCCAATGGCAATTATATACCGTTCTAGAAAATTTTTAAAAAGACTTTGAGAAAGAGAGAAAAACCATATTGTATAAAACGTGAAGCAAAATTGATTTTAAAGTTAACAAAAATAAAAACGATTTAGCCAATTTAGAAATCAGCTGGCAAAGAGAGGAGAACCCTCACCGCGCTTATAGAGTGAAATTGTTCGTATAGAAAGAGCAAAAAATCAAAATTTTTAAAGTTACCGTTAATCGTAAAAGGGTTAACAAATTTTTCTAGAACATCAAGAAAAACCAAAAAAAAAAAAAAACAAAAAGTTCGAGAACTTCTCTTCACCCTATATTTCTCTCTTCTTCGTTACTGATACAGAAAAAAAACGAAATTTTTTGTTTTTTATATAAAAATTATTCGTTGGGAACGTGTAAATAAAAAAAAAAGCTGCATTCATGAAAAAAATGTACAGATTGAATGTTCAAGCTCAACAGCAACAACAGGCTCAGCAACAGCAGCAACAGCAATCATCATCACAATCAGCTGCTGCTGCTGCTGCGATAACAGTTGCCACAACTCCAAGTCATATAATAATACAACAGCATCCAACAGCTGGTAATCGTCACAGTAATTCAACTCATATATTAGGTGGTATACCAGCTGGTGGTGGAAATGGACCTGGTGGTGGAACAAATTCTAGTAGCACTATTATTGGTAATGGTGGTACAACAACAATTACTGCCGTTCCAATAAATTCAATTGCCACATCATCATCATCATCAGGAACATCGGTTAATAGTCATATGAATGGTGATTCAAATACATCAAAAATTATTGTTACATCAATAAAATCTGAACCTATACAAGATGTTATAACAATAACCCCAGCAAATACTGTAACTGTTGTTAGTAATGTTGTTAATAATATTAGTAATAGTATTGGTAATATAAATAATCCTGTTGTAACTGCTACAGCTATCAGTAATAGCAGTATAAATAATAATAGTGGTATTAGCGGTAACAGCAGTGTTAATAGTGGTAGTGGGAGTGGTGGAGGTCCAAATAATAATACTGGAACAAATTCATTAAATTCTAGTACAAATATAACAACAATAGCGTCTACCAGTACTGGAAGTACAAATGGTCATAATATCGTTTTTGTTCCAAATAAAAGGACTAAATTAGACGGGTAATTTCCAAAAATATATTTCTTTTAAACATAGATATGTTTGTTTATATATTTAGATCTTAAAAATGATTAAAATTTTTAATATTACAGTCATGATGATTGGATATCATCTCCTAGTCCAAGTGCGGCTAGTTCAGCAGCACCATTAAGCCCATCACCGGGCTCACAAAGTCATAATTTTAATGCAAATATCTCGAATGGATATCCATCACCGATGTCAACTGGAAGCTATGATGCTTATAGTCCAAATGGAAAAATGGGTAAGTCAAAAATTTTATATAAAACTTTATTAAAAATATGAGTACAGAAACTATATATTCCCTAAATCCGAAGCAAGAACCTCTTACGAAATAACATAATCGCGAGCTGAATTATGGCCTAAAGCATTTGCTCAAATTAGTTTTCAAATGTGACAGGAGTAAAGTAGATGAGTAAAGGAGAATATGACGTAAAATTATTTTTAAACAACTGTTTTTTTTTTTTTTGCGAAACGAAGCTATGAACCAAAAGATCAAAAAAAATTTTATTATTGTTGAATTATTTACAAAAAATTAAATACCAAGAAAAAGAGAACCTTTCTCAAAATCTCCTCAAATTTCTCTCAAACAAATAGGACGCCATCGAGCGGTGAATAGCAAAGTTATTCATATTTTCTATTATCAAACATTTTTGTTTCTTGATTATAATAACAGGTGTCGCATCGCATACATAAATTTTGTTTTAGAGAATTTTAAATAAGTATTTATAAATTCTCTTTAAACTTAAATATAAGAGTAAATTTTATAGAGAAATGTTTTTTCTCTTAACATCAATACGGTTGTTGATAATGTATACATACATGTAAACAAACTTTTAATGTAAAATATACTTGAAAAAATTAGATTTACTAACACAACACACTCTTGTTTTCAAAATACATGCATAGGTGCTTACTTCTACACTATTAAAAGCTCTGAAAGAAATAATGTTTGTAGTGATATGAGTAGCTAAAATGTCATCAAATATTGTTAGGAAGGATAAAAAATGGTAAAAGATTAGCATAATTTTATTTTATAACAATGTGTACTAAATACAAAGTTTTAGTAATTATATCGAATTTCTTATACTCTAACTCTTGCTTTTGAAACTAATTTCAAAAATTCATTTAAAAAACTAAAGCCCCTTGGGGGTCTAATTTGCGGTATGATGAATCAATTATTATTTCGTTTTTAAGAGAAATTTCAAAATATTTTTTTAAGAGAAATTTTAAATCTTAAAGAAAGTACCTCCCCCGCCCGCTCTCTCTCTCTTTGTGTTTCTTTTCAAATTTTATACAATGTTTTTATATTTACGTATGTTAAGAGAAATACTATAATTTTAAGCTTATTGAATACTAAAAAAAATTATATTGTAGAGAGAAATGAAATTATTATTGATTTTTAAGAAGAAAAATTATTCTGGGTAATCTCAAATCTTACACTATATTTTTTATTATGGCTACCAATATTACGATATTATGTATGATTGCTCAGTTATATGGCTGAAATGAAATATATATTAGTATGTATTAAATAGAGATGAAGTCATCTTCATTAAGAACTAAAATACTATTGCAATTCTATATAAAAAAAAAACAGAATTTAAAAAATTGTGCATGCATGTATAGTGTATGAGATGAGAAAAACAAATACTTTGGTAATAATTTAGCAAATATTATGTATGTATATACGCAATAAACCATATGTAAAGCAAATTATATATAAAGCTTGTATTTTACATTATATACAAACAAACTTTAATAATATTATATTCTTATGTATTAAACATTGAAATTTATAGCGTCACAATAAATATGTACATGCACCTGTATAAAATATATAAATTGAATACATAAGATATGTATGTATACATGTAGATATGTACTTGAAATTAAGTAATATTTTCATAATAATTGTGCTCATATTAATTGTATGTATGTAAATAAAATAAAACCATTTTCATTGTTAATATTATTTTTCTTGAATGTTTGTAGTATGTACACTGTATACGGTATATAGTCTATGATTTCAATGGTTTATTTACACAACAGTACACAACAATAATAATAATTATTGACCTGCGCTCTTCTATTCTCAATTTTTTTTTTCTTCGATTTTATCCATAATATATATTATGTTATGCCTCTCAAGATTCAAATCAAGGAAAAAAAAATCATATATTTTGTATATTTTTATGGTGAATGGTGAATTTTGGATGTATTTGTGTTGTACCATATGAACACATAATATTATTAAGGCAGTCACAATCTAATATAGCATTATGTATACATTTACCATACCAACACCGACCGAGAATATAAATACTTTTATATACTGAAAATTCAAAATAATATAAACATAATCAATCACAGCTAGTGTTATAACATTAACATTTCTATATTTATAATACAATGTATTTTATTTGTAATGCCGGTCAGGCAGACTAAGGCACAATGATACAGAAACACACATATTTTTGTTGTTTTTGTAAAGTTTTTGTTTGCTTTTTGTTTTTTATGTGTTTCTGGTATAAATAAGAGCGAAGCTAGCGCGTTGTTTTCTTCATATACTTTAGGTATGAATTTTTTTTTTTGTGTTATTGCTTCCATTTGAATTCTGAAAAAAAAATTCGCTTCATTTTCGATTTTATTCTAGAGAATTATCCAATAGAGTTTCTATTAAAAATGTCCGACTCTAAAAAGTTCGACGAAGTTTTAGACAATTCCTGTTTCTGTTTTTTTTTTTTTGTTTTTACTGTTTACTTTGTTTTTGTTTTCATTGAACTCTAAATTTTTTCTTGTTACACATATTTTGTTTTTGGTCGAAATGAAAGAAGAGAATTACAATGATATTAAAGGCAGGGAGGGAGGGGGGGAGAAAGAAACTAAGTTTGTTGTTATTCGATTAACACAAAATTCTTAAGCAAGAAAGAAAAAAAAAAACCTGCTGGTTTTATTTTAAAACTCTCACGCATTAATACTTTTATGTATTACTGTTATGACAGTATTGCCTTTCCTTATTGAAAATTTACTTATATTTTATTTTTATTTTTATAAAATTTACTATTTTGAGAAAAAAAAAAATATTATTACTTTTTGTAATTATTGCTGTGATACATTCATGCTACTAGTAACTTAGATAACTTAGATTTTATTTGTTTGCGTTTATTATGTTTGGGTATTTTTTCTTGTGTTTTGGGTGATTTTACATAAGCCTTATGTAAGATTATGTTTATAGTTTTAAATATTTATTGACTTTTTATGTACATTTGTATGTATGTATGTACATCAATAATTATGTCCCTGGACAATGATAATGAATTTTCAATGTTAATTTGTTATTTAAAATTTAGTTTAGAGTTTATTATAATGAACGTATTCTATTAGAGTGAATGATTTTCAAGATATTTATATTTATGAGAGAAAATTTTTATTACTTAAGTAATTATGTGAAATATTTTTTCTTTAATTTCATAATATTATGTATATAGGTGTGGAAATGAGAATTACTCTATTTTCTATTGTTGAAAAAATATTTGTTAGCTTAGGTATTAGAAGTATATTTTTAGAATAAAATACGATGCCTACAGAATATAACCACGAGCTTTGAAAGCATGGTTTTAATATTAGTTTAATTATTATTAATTGAAACTGTTCTCAATACTACAAAACAATAACTGCAAAAGGCAAGCTGCGTGATGGATATGCATTATACGATAGTAAATTTTAACTAGTCTATGAAATTAAATCATTTCGCATGATTTGACTGGGCTACTCACAAAAACACACACTACTGCGGTATACACTACTTTATGTTACAAATTACCAACATTTGTGCAAGAACATAAAATATGGCATAGTTCTCACTACATATCGTAATATACTGCGTTTATGAGAAAGCCTAATGCGACTTTTGGACATACCAAAACTTTTAGAATGAAATTTTAATTATTACATCATTTTAATTATGAGATTTATAGTAATCATTTTTATGTACACCTCTTATTAGAACTTATACTTTGTATGCATAGATTGATGAATGGGTTTCCCGCCTCCTCTCTCCCACAAAAAGAAAACTATTATTATCGTATCTTAAAATGTTAAAATTCTTAAGCAATTACTTAATACTATTTAAAGTATTTCATATACATTCTAAGTCTATATTTAAAGGCATAACAAAAAAAATTCAAATTTGTATATTGAGTATATTATGTATTGTATACATACTTATGTATTATGAGCAATTATGTGATAATCTGAAAAATTTTACTTTGTATTTGTTTCTATATTAGGATGATCTCAAATATGTATGTATGTATGCAAGTAGGTAATTTTTAAACTTTTGTTTTCAAAACATTTATACATACTTATATACAGTATAATATTATTTATTTTGATTTTATTATGGTGAACGACCGAAACAAATTTTTACGATATAGAAGCTGAAGCTTTTGTTTTTATGATTATATTTTTTTTTAAATACATACATACACACATATATGAATTATGTAAATAGTATTTGAAGTTTTAAAACAAAAAATTTTTATATTTGTATATAAATAATATTTGTTTAATACGAATGAATTTATAAAGGAAAACTGTAGGGGGGGGGATATTGCTTAAACTTGAAAATTTTAGAAATTTTTTTGTTTGAATTTTAAAATTTTATTCTGTAATAAATAACATAAAATAAACTGTAACTTTTATTAATAATATTTTATTAATTTTGATAGTTCCTAAAAGTATGCAATTTTCTATTTATTTTGCAATATCGAACAATTTTTTCTTTCTTTTGAATTAATTTTTCTATGTATTATTTATGTAATACAAAATGTGTTTATGTACATAATTGGAAATATTTTGTAATATCTACATGTATATAATAATCAAATGTATGTACATATGTATTGTACGTTATGTATGTACATATTCTTATTACATAAAGATTGCATATTTTTCAAAATTTAGTTTGTTGACATTGATGAAGTAGACTATCTATTTTTGTATATATATATACGAATATATATATTTAATTGAGTTTATATACCTACATATGTATGAAACTTATATGCTTTGGAAATAAGTTAATAGCTAACATATTTTGTAAATAACCATTTATATATCACATATATATCGTAAATAAAGTAATGTTATTGTTGTACATAAACTATGAAAACTAAAATTATTAAATATAAAATTTTTTTTTGTTAAAAAATAAAAATTATTTCTTATGTTCTATAAAGA